TGTAAACCTAAGTTAATTGTTGCGTCATCGAGATCACGTGACTATTCTCACGCCCTCTAGTTTCTAGAACTATCCCGTACCTTGGCGAATGCTCTAGTATTACTAGATAGGGTAGGATGGTATATATATATATATAAGAGGGTGACAACGTGACGCAATAGTGTGTGTGTGTTCCTAGTGAGTAATTGAACTGCAGTCAGAAGTATAGTTGACGTTCGTTGATATAACGTCTGTTTTAGCGTGATTGTTGAAAATAAGTGTATCGTAAAGTTGTATTCGGAAAGAATAAACCAGTTTTATTAAGTAAGGACTTGTGTCGTTAAAGTTTCGTCGGAACGAAGTTACGGAAAAATCAATTAACAAACGGAGACGTAACATTATTATTAAAAAATACATTCAATATAGAATTAAGAAGCAAAGTGTATAATTGGTTGAAGTTATTTAAAAAGCAGATTCTCAATGCTTAATATTGGTAACAAATGTTCTGATAAATTAATAAATACAATTTTTCCATATGTTTAGTTGAAATGGTCATTAGATTAAATTGCAGGCTTAGTGAGAATCATTTGTTTGTGACATACAAAATAAAAAATCTATTTTGAAAAATGTTCAATACCAAACGTCTTTGGATATTACAACTGATGATACATTATATTGTTCGGAGCTTGTAAGAATTACTAGAAAAATTGTTGCTAGATATAGAGGAATAATAAACAAAATAAACATTAATATATCCAGTTTTCAACATTTTTAAAGAAATAATAAACATATTCATAGCCAGGATAAAAGAATTGATGCTGAGTTATACAAACTGCTTTTAAAAATCTAATAGATCAATGTTTAATAATCAGTAGCGATGGTAAGGGGAGTGAGGGGTGGTTGACATCCTCCCTGAAATTTGTCTTCCTCCCTTAAAAGTTTTACTAAAAAAAGTTTAATAAAAGCTATACCTCCCAATTGTAACGAATTTATTATTATGTATTTATTTTTAATATGAACGTTGTTTGGATTAAATTTGTATTTAAAAATATGCGTGCCTTGTAGTATCATATATGTGTTGCATATAACAAATTTGTTATACATATATTTTTAATGTCAATGATGGTTTCCAATAAGTTTATATTTGAGGGTGTGTCTAGCTTATCGCGTTAGTTACGTATGGCGAAACTACCGCCAATTATCCAAGATTGTAGAATATTCGTGTACACAAGAATCAACAATATATCCATTTCTGTAACCGGTATTATCGTAAGTTTCTGGAAAATGTGATTCGCCTATAAAAACAACAGAGAAGAGATAAGTCTACTAGGAAACTGTTATAACTGTTTAAGCTATAAAATGTGATTTTGCTAACCCTTGTCAACTAGAAAATATACATTTGACCAGGAACAATTATAAATTTTGAATGTCAGTGAATTCTCATCAAAAGTTAATATATTTCTAAAAATATGATTGATTTCTCGTCGGACATTAGTGGTTTTATGAAAATATTAACTTACTTCAATGGTCCAACAATTCAGTGCCTGACAAAGCTAGCTAGCTTCCCACCAATTATATGTACATCGACTTCAAGCTGACTCGCTGGATATCAAAGAGACTTTGAACTAGGAAGACGATTTTAGACTACTTGTAAGTTAGTGAAATTTCTGTTTATGAAACTTGGTTTATAATAATTAATCATAATAGTTGCTATTGTAAAGTACACTGTTGTATATATATATATTAAAGTTTATTTGTGTCAAAACCAAAAACGGCGTGAATCAATCTTGTTGGCAAATAGCGTAAATTAAATTAAATATCGCCATATTTCCAAAAACTAAATCCAGAGTACAGTTCAACTATTAAATGTTAAATTATTTAATGCGGTTTTGGATTATTTCAAATTATACAATGCGTTCAGTTACTAGTCAACTCTTATTTTCTTCTGTGTAAGACTGTTAATATATTTTATTGTAATTATAGCTTTTAAAAATGAACTTCTATTCAGAGCAAGATATGTACTTAGAGCAAAACTAAAAGCCAAACTGACCATCAGTATAAAGAACTAAACATTCTTTTCTTACATTTCCATTTATAAAGATTAGAATTCATTGTTTCATTAGTTGGGTACTATTGTTTGTTTTGTTTTGGAATTTCGTGCAAAGCTACACGAGGGCTATCTGCACTAGCCGTCCCTAATTTAGCAGTGTAAGACTAGA